CTCGTGACTGGAGGCTAGCAATAGGAGGAAGCCTCTTTGCAGAGACAAAGTATGGGCAGTTGTGCAACCGCGCAGTTCTCTCCTCGGCTGACTTCCTTGAATAAGACGGCCTTCAATTTTTAGCGTAAGGATTTTAGAGAAAAGTATCATCTTATAGTCGGAAAAATATGGTACTTTTGTATAAAATAAACAACTTCTTAAAAGGCAGAGTTAGGACTACCTAAGTTATTTTGTGTTTAATAAAGTTGATTTTGTAATATTTTAAAATATGCCATCAGTAGGATATATATACTCTTTGGAGAAGAATACATTTATAATATTTACTTACCTTCCAAAATGGTTAAATTCATTCTAGCATATAAACCATCACTTATCTTGCCAATGCCACATCTGTAATTACTGGAATCTCTACTTGTCAGCTGTCTCATTGTCACTTGCAAAATCCCTTTTTGAGGATTGTTGTACATTGACACTCTTTCTTTGTAATCTTGATGAATGAAAGCATTACTAGAAATGACAGTTTGACACCTTTTATGTGGCAATTCCTTGCAGAAAAATTTTCTGTCATGCCTGTTCACTGATGTGGTTACATAATAGCATTTGATTGTCACTGATCCACCAACATGACTTATCAGTAGCCTTGGTCCATACAACGTGTCTGAAACTATTTTGAAGGAAGAGGGAAGGCAATTAACGCATTGTCCAAGAAAGAAGATAAAGTACACTGTACCACTTATCTTGTAAGTCAAATAACCCCTCAAAAGAAAATTAATAGTCTTAACCCAGATCCAATTAAATAAATTAATCAGATAAAACCTTAGTAATCATGAATTGATAGAACATATATTTGGGTTTTTTTCAGTTTATTGGATCCTAGAGAACAAGAATTTGTCCAAAGCCAAACTTCTCAGTTGAAATGCTTACACCCACTAAAAACAGAATCCCACTAAGTCCATCTAAATGGCTTTACATTATGCTAATACCAGTCCTTCATGACATAATCATCCTGTTTCTTTCCCAATCTGGTTCATGCTAGAGATATCTCATAATAGGTTGAGTGACTGCACTAGTTAGTCCTCACTGTAGTTAATATCCAGGCAAAATTATCATGGCGACCATAATTTCCATTTATTCGGATACTATGGTAGGATCACTTTGAATGGATCCCCATTTTTTGAATGCTCCATACAACCTATGGACAGTATTTTAGCCTTAGTGATCTATGTGCAATATAGTTTCCATGGATCTTGATTATTAAGGATGAATAGGAACTATATCTATCATCCAGGATGCTTCTGAAATACTAAAGTGGGTTGTACCATTGTTATTTGGTCAATTTTGGAAAAGGAAATGGAAGGGATGGTGGAGAAGGGTGAGAATTCCAATCTATGACATATTTTGCTTATTACAGTTGTTGTCCTATAATCTCATTTGACAGTAAGCATTACTGGAGTCAGCAGGAACATCTTATAGTATTGGAACACTTCTTTCATTCTGTCAGCAAGGAAACATTATTGCAACAAAATTATAGTAATATGCATAGGTATTTAAATATTACTAATTAATAAATTAAAAGATAATCAACTAACAAATATTTAATTATTTGAAAATGTCGAAGAGAAAGAACTTATATTTTGCCAGAACTTGCTTTGTTTGTAATTTCTTTAAAGTAAACATACATTTCTGGAAAAATTTAAAAGCCATTTTATTTAATAATAAAATAATCTTTCAAACTTACCAGAAACTGGTTTTAAGGAGAATTAAAACTGAAGTGAGTTCTAGAAATAGCATTGGATTATCTATATTTGATTAAGGAGCCATTTAGTCCATAATGGGTAGCTTGCATGGTTGATAAATGTAGAAATGGTAGCCCACATATGAGGCAACCCCAAAGGAGCAAGGTAAGTTTGGGAGTTGCTTTTCCCCAATGCTGTTTTAAGGATGAGTCAGAACTATGAGCCTCTCTCATTCATGGAATTGTCCAGACAACCCATCTGTTGTTGTTGTTTTTCCCTTCACTTGTTCTTCCATTATTTTTCATTCCAAAGAAAATCAGTTAAGAAGGAAATGGCTGAACTGTTGTATACCCGGGACCTTTTGATTACTCTTTGTTTGGAAGCACCGTACATCTAACTGTTGAATGGACATTGATTGGGTCATTAGTGTCAACCTTTCCTAACATGTGGGGAAAGGCTAAAAGAATAAAACTTCTGGCTACTCACCATGCATCACAGTGAACAAAATAAAGATGATCAACATCATGCTTGAATTCAGAAATATTCAAGAGGCAAATATATCTCAGCTGAGTGGTAGAAACAGAACAGATTCCAAGCAGTTTTGTAATGCCTGATAGAGATATTAAAAACTTTTGAACATTTCACTTAGTAGAGATCAAAAAGAAAAGAGAGGAAGTGATGCCCCATTCTGAAGACCTGTAGTCCAATTTTTCTCCATCCCCAGAAACCCCTCAACTTTCTTGCCATTTTACATTAAGAACCATATGAAAACTATAGTATACCAAAATAAGCTTAATAGAATTTTAAAAAATAAAGAATTCCACCCAAATTTGAAAAAAGAGAGAAAATATTGGTCCCTAACAAAGAAATGGCATTGTCCCCTCATTTTGCATCATTAGTGCGTCTCTTGGCCCTACTGAAGCTATTAAGTCAGAGAGAGAGAGAGAGAGAGAGAGGGAGAGGGAGAGAGAGAGAGACTTTCAGTGAAATCCAATATTTAACATTCATGTAGCAGCTATGGGACAATTAATGAAATGCTTTTGGCAGAAATAAGCAGCTTTCCCAAAGGGTTTCTTTCATTCCAAAGATTCCCCAGCTTCATTTGGAGGAACCATCTTCCATTTCCTATTTTCTTCTTGCTAGAATTTCTAAACAACATTGTTAGCAGATGAATGAAAACAACATTTATGTTCAAGATGTGATCACCAGGACAGCTGGGTACTAAACCACTTCTCCATATGAGAAATACTTATTTAAGAAGTACTTAAAATACTTCCTTCTTAAAATACTATTGAAGTATTCCCTTTAAAAGATGTTGTCGCTTCAAATTCTCCTGAACTGAACTCCTGAACATAAGTAGATTGTCAAAAGAAGCCAAATTTGAAGACAACAGCTTATCTGAATTTGCAAACAGAATAGAAATTAATACATTTCTAGAATTCCATAGCTGGTCTAATGGTGCATTGAATCCTACCTCGAGCCTAACCATTTATCCTAATCAGCGCTTTACTGCTCATTATCGAGGGTGATTAACTATGTAATCAATTCTTTTCCACTGAACTCAGAGCTCTTTAAACAAATGGACTTATGAAGGTTTGGGTCCTTTGGTAGCTGCCTCTCTGGGCAATGTTGTCCAAACTTGGCCACTTTAAGATGAGTGGACTTCAACTCCCCCCAATCCCCCCTCCCCCCCACAGGGGGTTGGGGGGATAGGTGGGGTTTGGTTTCCTTCTATTTACTTCGATGGCTTTTTTATAGAGACAC